ATGCTCATACACAACTTTGTGATCTGTAGTGAGAGTAGGGAGTAGGGAAGAAGTGGGAAAGAACCAGGAGAGGTGGAGGTACGCTAATCCTCTGACTATTAGTGCTAAAAGTCTACTCCTCAGTATTATACTTTGGATGGGAACATGTTCAGTGCGGTGCTGAGAGGTGTGTCGGAGGTCTAACGTACTTGCATTCCTTTGTGAGTTAAAACTGTGTGCGTGGTTACCACGTGAGTATTGTAAGATAAGAATGATGTTTGTTTAACTTTATCTGTGTTTTTTGCTAAGTAGCTAGTCCCATTACTATCGCTAAGATGCGGGAGAAAAATCATTTGTGGTCTTAGGGTGCCATCTAGTGGCTATGTCGTTATAATTTAGATTGTATAACATTACGCTGAAAACCCACAGTATAGTGTAAGTAGTATAGTGTTATACATAGTGGTTTATACACATATTCGTTCTTTCTGTTTACAGATGACCACACACACACACACACCCTTTACCTGCATTTAAATATATTGTAATTCAATCACATCCTGTTTATGCCATCTGCCTTCTCCTTCATTAAACTTATTTGAACTGCATCACTGTGGAGTACCATTCCTTCTGACCGAGGACGACTCAGCTGAAGCGTGATCGGCAATCAGTGCAATCATATATTACAATTAGCATACCTGGAGAGAAGAGGAATGATAGTCAGTGGAAACAAGACAGAACGGTGAGAAAGAGAGGGAGACATGTGGAAGGGTAAACATGCAGAGATAGTGAAGGTGGATGAGTTTAATACCTGGGATCAACCATCCAAAGCAACAGACAGTGCCCAAGAGATCTGAAGCATAGAGTGATGGCACGGTGCAGCGGGTGGAGATGAGTGTCATGGGTAATTTGTGATAGAAGGGTAACAGTAAGAGTAAAAGGGAAGGTTTACAAGATGGCAGTAAGAGCTGTTAACAATGTATGGTGGCCGAGTTGAAAATTTTCATTGAGAGTAAGCAGAATGGACAATATCAGACATGCGTACATCAGAGGGACAGCTCAAGTTTGGAGACAAAGTTAGAGGTAAGGCTGAGATTGTTTGGACATGTGCAGAGAGAGGATGGTGGATTTACTTGACAGAGGACTCTAACAGAGAGCTGCCACGCAGGAGCAAAAGAGGAAGACCTCATGACCATGGATGTAGTGAAGAATGACACGCAGAGGATTGTTGTAAAAAAGGAGCATGCTGGGAGCTTTATGTGACTCCTAAAGAAGATGAACACAGCCTATATAGGTGCTGTTTTTAAGAGGATCAAACGTTTACTTTTTCAGATGGGTTTGAAAACTCAATGTGAAAACATGTCTTGGTGGAGTGTACACTTTGTTTCCATGCATGCTATGATTTGGGTAACTGGGTAAATATTGGGATCAAATTGAAGATTGAACTGGATAAAATTGCCATGCAAAAATACAGAAAAATCAACATGCCACATGTGAAACTGCAGGTCAGTCAAATCAGTCTGTCACTTAATCTTTAATGTGCTACATTTATTCCTTTGGGGGAGAAAAACTTTACCTTTGTGTCTTTCCAAAGTTGACTGGTGTGTACATGGATCCTTCACTCTTCATGGAGACAACACTGGGAGCTCTGGACTCAGTTCCACTAAAAACGGAGATATTTGTATTTATTCCACAAACAAGAAACCATCTGTGTTTCTATTGTATTTGTTTCCAGGAAAAGTGAAAGAAGAATAACTCCAACAAATTAATGGAAAACATTTTAAAGTACAAAATAAGGATTACCCCTGATGTTGCTTGTCACCAAAATTAGCTGGCTGGTACATGGATCCATCACTCTTCACAGACACAGAGCTGGGACCGGGAGAGTCATCTCTATTCTTCTGTGTACTGTTCAGAATAGGATATGAATCTTTTCTTTTTTTCTTTAAAAAAATAACAGTGAACCTTGATCCATGATGGACCTCTGAGCTAAATGCTAATAGGATGGCAGAAAAGGAATGTGAAGGCAGGTGACAAATGAAAGGAAAAACAACAATATGTTGGTGCGCTGGTTACAAGAAGTGCATCAAGTGTCTTGTGAACTTTACGTGAGGGTGAACTCCATTCTCCTAAAAGATTTCCCTCTCACCTGATAAAGAAGCCCCAAACTTTTCCACAGCTGTTCAGCTGTTTAAGATCAGACAAACATGTTAGACCAGAGTAACATCATTTTCATCCTCATCAGGTTATTCAGTGAGACCTCGTGTCATGTTCTATCACTCAGAACAACTCATCACCAACCTCTCACTGGATCAGGCAGCCATCCCATCCTGTCTAAAATCAGCCACAATCATCCTAGTGCCGAAGAAGTCTCCCATCTCCAGCCTGAATGATTACCGCCCTGTGGCCCTCACACCGGTAATCATGAAATGCTTTGAGAGACTAGTCCTTCAGCACATCAAGGATTACCTCCCCCCAGAATTCGACCCCCACCAGTTTGCATACTGTGCAAACAGATCCACAGAAGACGCCATCGCCACAGCCCTCCACGCTGTGCTGAGTCACCTAGAGCAACGGCAAAGCTACGTCTGAATGCTCTTTGTGGACTACAGCTCAGCCTTTAATACAATCATCCCGGACATCCTCATCACCAAACTGGTCACTCTTGGCCTCCCTCCTCTCACATGTGCCTGGATAAAGGATTTCCTCACAAACCGGCCCCAGACTGTAAGACTCGGCCCTCATCT